GTTGGACTTGTCAATTTTTGCACTGTCCTTTCATGATGGCACTGAAGGGGTTATTGGTTTCTCAACACTCATGTTCATTCTAGGGATGTAAATACTATTGAAAAATTTAACCGTTTAAATGATTAAAAATATTTCATTTAAATGGTTAACTGATTAAGCGGCTGGGGCCGATCCGGCAGGCATGGCTGTTCTGGCCAGATGGGCAACATGGGGTCGCTGCGGCCACCGGCACGGGGTTAACGGTTAAAGCCGGTTACCCAGTAAGACTACTGCTTACCAGTTAACCAGTTAACATTTTACCTCCCTAGTTCATTAAATCCAGTGTCTCTGTTATGAATGTCTATACAGGCCTGAAGTATAAAACTAAATAGCCTCTGGCTAAGGGCCGGTCTGCCAGATGGCTGTATTTACTGTGTGCATAGGGTTTATTGCAAAACCCCAGTATTTACCTTAAGTAAACACCTCTAAAAGATTACAAGTTGTGACATAAATTACATTGGTGGGTATCAGTAACAAGTCATTGATTAAAATTGTGTCAATGTTAACAGATTAGCTAAAGTTCGTGTATTGAACCGGATCAAATAGTGGCTCTGGAGGTGGAGGAGCACCTGTAATGCACTGTAATGCACTCAGAGCGACTGGAAGGGAACTCTCAAGGGTGTGTGTATAATTAGTGTGTGTGTGTATTTAATAACTTTATCATCTACAATTCCTGCTCAGAATTATTTGTCTAGCAAAGGGATGGGCAGCCTTTGGCATGCGGCCCGTAAGGGAAATCCGCTGGCGGGCTGGGATGGTCTGTTTACCTGCAGCGTCCGCAGGTTTGGCCGCTCGCAGCTCCCACTGGCCACGGTTCGCTGTTCCCGGCCAATGGGGGCTGCAGTAAGCGGTGTGGGCCGAGGGATGTGCTGGCCGCCGCTTCCCGCAGCCCCCATTGGCCTGGAATGGCGAATTGCGGCCAGCGGGAGCTGCGATCGGCCGAACCTGCAGACGCTGCAGGTAAACAAACCATCCCAGCCCGCCAGCGGATTTCCCATGACGGGCTGCGTGCCAAAGGTTGCCGATCCCGGGTCTAGCACCAGCAACGTGCTAAGTGCTTTACAGGGAAGCATGAAGCCAAGAGTCCTGATTTTCCACTACTTCAAGCCATTTGTAGTCATTGACGCTGGGTGTAAAATGCCCCTGGATCAGGATGTTATCACTTTACACAAGGGGAAATGACTGCACAGGGTCCAAAGGGCCTGATTCTCCTCTAGATCAGGGGTTCTCAACTTTTTTCTTTCTGAGGCCTTCCCAACATGCTATAAAAACTCCACGGCCCGGCCTTACCACAGCAACTGTTTTTCTGCATATAGAAGCCAGGGCCAGCGTTAGGAGGTAACAAGCAGGGCAATTGCCTGGTGCCCCATGCCACAGGGGGTCCTGCGAAGCTAAGTTGCTCAGGCTTTGATTTCAGCCCCTAGGTGGTGGGACTTGGAGCCCCGGGCTTCAGCCCCAGGTGGTGGAACTTTGGCTTTCTGCCTGGGCCCCAGCAGGTCTAATGCCAGCCCTGCTCGGCGGACCCCCTGAAACCTGCTCGCAGCCCCCCAGTGGGCCCCTGGACCCCTGGTTGAGAACCACTGCTCTAGATCACACCTGTGTACATCAGAATTAACTGCTGAAAGCAGTAGAGTAACGCTGTCAAGTTGATGGAAGTAGGATCAGAATCAGGCACAGGTCCTTTGCCTCGAAGAGCCCTGATTGTGGTTTGTACTCCTTCAGGCATTGGGACGCTCTGTGGACAGCTGCGAAGGCTGGAGGAAGCTCCATTGCTGGAGATCTCCTCATGCAGCTGGGGGACCTGTCAGTTCTGCGGCTCTTGGAAGCCCTGCTGCAGACCTTGCCCCACCTGTTGCTCCAGAGCTACGTTTTTGTAGCGGTGGAACCGACTGGCCTTGTCCCAGGTAAGTGGGGAGTCTTTAAATGTAGAAGGAAGGTGATGTATGTGTGAGATGTGTCCTCTAATGTATGTGTCTTCTAATGTTCCCAGGGTAGATGGGCACAGGTAGCAGGAGTGGACTTTCAGGATGAAGGACCATATTGCAGACTAACTGGAGAAAAACATATTCAGAACGGTGCTTTTAAAAAATTAGCCTCTTGCGCTTCTTAACAGCAAAGGCTGGTGTCTCTCCTCTCTCTCAACGGTTCCCCATCTTTTCCCAACCGTTTTCTTGTGACCCCCACGCAGTGGATGCGTTCCTTCTGACAGAGAACAGCCAGAGCGTGCCCTCGTCGCTCCTTAATCTGCCTGCAGTATGACTGCTCTTCAGCAGCGCAGCGGCCAGTTCATGCCGCAGCAGAGAAACGGGGAATTAAACTTGGGTTCCATGTGTGGCCAGGATGGAGGACTGTCGGGAAGCCCGTGTTTGTCTCACCTCTGGAGGAGTTAATCACTAGGTTTACTGGGGTGCGTGATGGCTTGAGGACTGATCTTGGGGTAGGCATAGAATCCTTGCCGTTTGAGATGGACTATCCAGTTCATCGCCCTGCAAAATTCAGAATTATCTTGCAATGGCACAGAGAGCCTCTCTCCTTGTATAGAAGGAGCATTCCACTTCCCCGGCAGGTTCGAATCCGGATCAGGTGCATGAGGATCGGCCACTGAAAAGATAAAATTAGTGTTCTCAGCCCATTGGAGAGAAGTCACTGTGGCTGATGCTAAGGGACAGTCTTACGAGAGAAGCCACAGACTGAATGAGCATGAAGAATTAATAACCATGGTGCTTAATACTCTCCATGTGTAGCTCTCCAAGCGCTTTATAAAGGTCAAGTGTCAGCTCTGATTTGCAAATAGGGAAACTGAGGCACAGAAACGTAAGTTGCCCATGGTCGCACTGTAATTCAGTACTAGAAACACCCTACTAGAGGAACTGCTGGTTCCTCCAGACTAGGGGTATGGGAGGATGGGATAAACTTGCCCTGCCGCTGCCTGTGGTATTCCTACTCTATGTGTGTGTGTGTGTGTGCGGGAATAGAAGACTCAGCTATCCAGGGCTATCAGTCCCACAAATGCTAGGAGTCCCTCTCTCACACACAAAGGTTTCCCCATAGGTGTGCAATGGAACATACTTGTGACAGCGATTGCAATCGCAGGCAGTATCTTTGGAGGGCCATTGTATTACATTTATGAATGGTTTCTGTGTGAGTGTATTCTAGTCCATGGAGGAAGGGTACCCACAGCGCCTCCAGGAACTAAAACTAGGGTTGGAGGCGGGGAGGGGTTAAGGCGAGTCACTGAGACTAAACAGTTCGGAGGGGGGGAGTTGCCTAGACTGGCTCAGGCTGGGTTTTTCAGAGACTAGGGAACAAAGAAAGGGTTTTTGGTATAAAAGAATGAAAGGGGCTTCTTTCTGACTAACCCTTGCAGAAGGGTTGGAAAGACTTTGGCCTATGAGAGCCCCATAAGATGGATGGGTGACTCCTGGTATGTTTCGTGTGGCTTTAAATCTGTATTATTTTTATTATGTTTTCTCTGTGATGCTTTTACCTTAAGAATAGACGTGCTTGTATAACCCACACACTTCCTGGGTGTGGTGTTCTGTCCCATCTAGTGGCCCTGAGACCACTTAGAGAGAGAGAGAGATTATGGATCTGCTCTACAGCCTTAGCTAACAGCCAGTGGCTTTTAGCTCTTGCGGTAGAGGCTCATGCACTAAGCTCCAAAGGCCCCAGGTTTGATTCTGCCCAACGACGACCGGGGTCTGTCAGTGTTACACGTGCTCAGAAGGAGTTGCGTGGTAACTGAGGGCAATACACTGTTCATCACCCTCAGAGAGAAAGCAACACCCAGGGCCTGGCTGTTGGGCAGACTGGCTTGCTGGGGTATCACAGTGTAAGACAGGGAGCTGTGCAGCCTTAAAACCCCCAGCTCAGAAAGGATTGGGCAGGGTCCCTGCCCAGAGACAGGTGATGGCTGGAGACCTGACCGGGCGTCCCTGGACTGGACCATGGGTGAGGAGATAGAGATGCAGTTACACTGAAGTTGTGACAGTACTGATGAAGTAGAACATACATAAGAACGGCCATACTGGGTCGGACCAAAGGTCCACCTAGCCCAGTATCCTGCCAGTAATAAGAAGGTGTGCTTGATGCACTGGTGTGTATTAGTATGAGAAAAATTGTCAGTGGATTGATGGTCTTTTAATGGCTGTTGCAAAAGATACTTTTAATCCTAATAAAACTGATAACTGGGGAAGGAAGAAATTGAGGTGAGGGTTTAGTGGAGAACAAACACAGGTCAGTAGAGGAACATTTGGTCAAGTGCTCCAGCTGGAGTGAAAACCATCTGTCCTGTGGAATGCAGGTGCCGTGGATTTCTGACCCCTCATGGTGCCTTTTGAATAATGTCCCTCCTCCTTCATTTGTAGGTGTCAGTGCTGGACTTTCCCTGCTCTCCCTCTCCTGGTCTTTAGTCTCTTACAGCCGCTTTACATGCCTAATGAAACCAGGTCATCTCTACATGCCAGCAGCGGCCCTCCTGTGCCAGTTGTTGTGGAGGACAGGAATGCTAGGAACGAGGGTCGTGGCCCTGGTGCTCTTTGCCAGAGTCTATCCTGTCTGGGTTTTTGTCGCAGCAGGTAAGATGAGATTTCCTGTGCATGCTTGTGCAGTTAATAGTCTCCTGTGTCCCCTGTTGTGAACAGACACTAGGTGGCGTAATTCTCCAGTTTCTCTCACTGAGGAGGGTTCATAGAATCATAGAAGATCAGGGTTGGAAGGGACCTCAGCAGGTCATCTAGTCCAACCCCCCTGCTCAAAGCAGGACCAACACCAACTAAATCATGTCTACACTGCAAAGAAAGACCCACAGCGCTCAGTCTCAGAATCTGGGTCAGTAAACTTGGGGCCCAGGTCTAAAAATAGTAGAGTAATCCCACTTGGTCTGGAGCCCGGACTCTGAGACCTTTCCTCCTCGCTGGGTTTCAGAGACTGGGCTCCAGCCCAAGCTCTAATGTCGGCACTGCTCTTTTTAGCCCCGCAAGCCTGAATCCATTGACCTAGGCTCTGATGCTTGTGAGATTTGCTAGCTTCCCCCCTCAGCTCACCACAGCACCTAATTTGCTTTTTACTCTCTGCCTTCCCCGCCGAGGTGCTCACTGGCTGGTGATGTCCTTCTGGCTGGTGTCTCAGCAAACTGACATCATAGCGAGTTCCTGTCACTGGAGACTGTTCAACTTCCTGGTGGGGGCCGTGTACATCTTCTGCTACATTAACTTCCAAGCTGGCCCCTCCAGGTACAGAGTGGCTGTGTTTTATGCGGTAAGTGCTTGGTCTCCTCTTGGCTCTTAGAGTCACAGTCACTAACAACAAAAACAATTAAGAACTAATCTAACCGTAAACGACCTGTGCAGTAAGGGCCGTGGCCGCTTCTGTGTGTCCTACAATGGAGCCCATAGAGTCTGGCCATAATAAACAGTAACGGGTTTCCAGCAGTGACCTTCACCTTATGCTTCCGGTGAGCCATTTCCCCATTTCCTGCTTCTAACAGCAGTGCTCCCTGGGGTGGCACTTACTTTCTGACCCTTATAATGATCAGTCTCTGCCCTGGGGCATGATATTTGACTACCGTTAGTTTAGCCTGCATAGCTACATTTTTATGTTGGCAACATCAGTTCCACTTGAAAAATCCTGCTACGCTAATTGGAGTGGATACACTTTCCTAGAATCGAAGAGGTTATAAAGATTAAGTGAATTTAGCGCTCATGAAAGGTGCAGCGCGGCAGCCCTGGGAGGCTCCTTCTAAATACAATAAAGGCTGCTACTATTATTGTTCGTGGGAAACACGTGCGCGTTGCTGGTTCTGTGGTGTCTGGCGGTGCTCTCAGATCTGTGCTGAACCTGTTCCATGTTGCTGGTGTGTGGAGATGCTTTGGCACAGAAAAGGTACTATAAAAACTTGCAATTTATTTTCACAAGCAAAGAGCCGTGTTTCATTTCTGTTCAAAACCTACGTGGGGGAGAAGGCCAGAATGGTAGCGGGAGCTCAGGGTATGATAGCAAGGGAGAGCAAAATAAATAGGTAAAGCTTAGAACTTATTCATGTGTGTCATTTAACTCCCTCCGCAGTAGGAGCCGTGTCTACAACCAGTTGGTGCACATGCAGCTCTGAGTGACAGCTATCTTTCCTTTGCCCTGCAGATAATGCTGATAGAGAACATCTTCCTTTTGATGTTGGCCACAGACCTCCTGCAGGGGGCGCGGCGGGAGAGCCTGTTTATGACAGGGGCTGTGATGGCTGGATTCGTGATTGGTAAGATCTATTGCTTTCTCACGCTCTGAATCAGAAGGTGCTCGGATACTATGCTGATGAGAGCACTGTAAGAACCTGCCTAGAATAGTGTTGCCAGCTCTCACAATTTTCTCATGAGGGTCGGTATCTTTTCTAAAAGCTCTGGTTCCTGGAGTCATATTGGGAGGATCCAAGGGTGCAGGTCTAGAACCCAGGGGTCTCTGGATCACTGACACTCCCTCGGGGCCAGCCAAGGGAGATAGGCAAAGCATCATCTCGCTGAACTTGGAAAGTCAGCCCCCACGGGAAGTTCTGTCGGAGCACTAAAGGCCTGCAGCCGCCTGATTGGCTCACATCTGCTACTTAAGCCAGGAAGTGACCGAGTGGGCTGTCCAACCTGTTGTGAAGACTTTCTGCTGCGGCCACATCGGACCCTGCTCTTGCCTGTCTCCTGTAACCCTGATCTAAGCCTGGTGCTGATTGCTGCTCCACTCCTGACCTTCTCCTCACTTCCAGCTCCTGCCTTGATCCTGTTTCGTGCCTGATTCTTGCCTCTCCCCGATTCCTGCCTTTTCATCTTGCTCCTGACCATCGGCTACCAACCCTGGCTTTGACCCCACCCCCGACTTTTGACTGGCTCAACCCTTGGCTCTGGCATTTGATATTCAACCCTGACTCTGATCCTTAGCTTTGGTTCCTGGCCCCAATTTGGCTCAGCCTTCTGGCTCCGGTATGTGGGAGTAAATGCCAGCTCCGACCCTTCGCTTCCATTCCCTGCCTGGATGCCTGCACACTAGATCTAACCCCCTTGCTCTGACAGTAGGCCAGACCACCTGCGTCCTGGTTTCTAACATGGAGTCGATCTTGGCCTTCCCTTTTTAAAAGGGTGACTTCCTAGCCCTCATGGTAGCAGAGGGATGCTTGAAAAAGTGACTTCAGTGCACTCTGAAGGCCCTGAAACCAGGAAGCAAATGCTATGGTTGGTTTAAAAAAGTCTCGTTATTTTGCGGGCCTGACTTGTGATTTTTGAGCATTTGGTGTTGGTGGTGCTGTAGTATAGAGGATCACTGTTCGGAAACTCTTACCAGTGAAATGAGTAGAGATACAAGACAGATTGGTTTTGTTAAGGTGTGTTCCTTTCTTCTGGCTGAGAGTACGTTGATGAAGGACTATGTAGAAATGTGGGTGGGGGGAGATCCCCCTCGTTCAGGGACCAGATTTGGCCCTTGGCGGGTGATCGTGCTCCCATTCAGTCAGGTGCATGCGCTTGAGGACTGAATGCGGCCCTGCATTGTGAAGGATGCTGGGCATGACTATCCCTTTGCAACAATGTAGTGACTTGCACAGGAAAACGTTAGCCTTGATTCTCTCGCATTGTGCCTGCTCTCCACAATATCCTCCCCATTGTAACTTACTGCAGCTCAGTGAATGCCTGGTGTTCCTCTCCACCTGCGTAGACAGAGTGGGGGAACTGGCTTCTCCACAACATGTTCTCAATCCCCAAGAGACTGTCCCAGGCATGCAGTGACCTTGGGACTCGAGTCGGGGTAGGAGGGGCACAGGACAGAGCTGGGAAGCAGCCACTGAAGCCGTGAGTGGATTTCTCTCTCCAAGGCTGTGACTCCCGAGTCCATAGTGGTGAAGGTTAATGCGCTCGCTCCCCTCCCACCTACCTCAGGAGGGACCAGCTGCCATGGGCAGGGTTGTGGGTAGGGAAACCCCATGGCTGTCCTTCTATCCGCTTTGTTGTGCTCGGCTCTCCTTGCTGACCCTTGGGGATTTGCCAGTTGCCTCCTCCCCCCCATCCCGCTCTCCAAGTTGCGCACCCTTCCATTGTAGAGGGAGCCTGGTTCCAACCTTGTCAGGATCTCCTTGGTAAGTCATTTCCTTTACTGGGGGGGGGGGAGGGGATGGGAAGCATCAAGCACCTAACTCCTCACTAAACCACCGTCGCTGTTTTTCTTCCCTGCTCCCCGTCATCACTCCATGCACTGCAACTCATGCCAGCGGCCAGGACTTGGGCAGTATTCTATCTGGCAATGAGCAGATCCTGCATTTGATCAAGATGAGGCTCAGAGGGAATCGCGCCGTCTAACTGATTCCATTAACTTCTCTCCTGCCCTTGGCTTTATTTTTCAGAGTGTCTGGGGGTAATGTTTTCAAAAACACCTCAGTCACTTAGGAGCCTTTGAAAATGTTGCCCTAGACGTCTCCTTTGGGTCTCTCTATTCCTGGGCAGACAAGGAGCTGTCCTTCAGAAGCAGCTCCGTGTTGCTGTTTCACTGTGCAATGGCACCGCTAATCCACTGTCCCTTCCACCAGCTTGTTTTCTGAATGCCATTTCCAGAAATATAACCCCGAATCCCAGCAGCTCCTGTTCTTCACTGCTGGCGTCTGGCCTCCAACCCAGGTGTTGCTCTAACACCGTCTCTCTGCATACTGAGCTCTGCAGAGTTTGAGGCTGTTCTTCACACAACCCTCTTCCCGGCCTCCTAATGGCTGTGTCCTGAACCTGATGCAGAAGTCTTTTCTGGACTGGCGTCAGGAGTGACGTATGTTCTTATTTTTGAGCTGCTATTCGGCCACCCACGCCTTGTCCTCCTACATCCTCTGCTAACCACAAGCTCTTAACCTCAATCTGCCAGTGACAAAGGACGTTGGTGGCCCTAATAAAATGAGGAACACCCCGCAGCACAACAGGAAGGCTGGAACGCTGGGAGAGTCATAGAAGCAGTTCAGTCTGATTTAAAGAAAATGTTAAGGGGGAGGGAGAGCTCAGTGGTTTGAGCATTGGCCTGCTAAAACCAGGGTTGTGAGTTCAATCCTTGAGGGGGCCATTTAGGGATCTGGGGCAAAAATCTGTCAGGGGATTGGTCCTGCATTGAGCAGGGGATTGGACTAGATGACCTCCTGAGGTCCCTTCCAACCATGATATTCTATGAGTCAGCACTCTGGAATAATTTCCACTGGCAAGCAGTAAGTCTGCATTGAACAAGTGCTAAATTTGGGTCTAAAACGAAGTGACATCCCTTCTGACTAGGTAGCGATGGTACAGAGATGCTTAGCTCTGCTCAAGTCTCCTGTTGGATCCTTGTCTTAGGTGGATGGTTGCCCCCACATATCATCTCCCAATACTTAGGGACTGCTTATCTCTGCACTTGAACCTGTCGAGTGACGGTCCTAGCAGGTGGTATTGATGCTCCCAGAAGCATTCTTCGGATAGATTCCGTGCAGCCAGGATTGCATCTAACTACTGGTGCGTTTTCCCTCCCCATGACACAGCCACAGTTGCGTCCTTTATATATGCAATTGAAAATGCTTAAATTGTAAAACAGACCCTACCTCAAAAACTTTGCGTACTCCTGAATATCAGCAATGGTACTACTACTTGGATACCTAATCACATCAGTATTCCTAACTGTTTTGCACTATATGCCACAGTGAGGTGTTGTTCCTTTTTGCTTTCTTTCAGGCTCTGCGGCTCTGGTCTTCTATTACAGTCTGCTACACCCCAAATCCACAGAGATCTGGCAGAGTTTCCTGAAGAAATCTTGCAGCATCACAGCTGCAAAGTATAACGGGACAGAAGGATCCACTTTCCGGTCCGTAAACGAAGCTGGGGAGAGCTTTGGAATTTCAGGTCAGGGGGACATTGTCTCTTCAAATGCAGAAGTCTCGAAGGTGGTGCATACCAGGCCTGCTTCTAGAGCACACAGTGAGACCTCACTTGGAGAACTTGAAGGTCATACTTCTGTGAAAGACACCTGGGTGAACCATCATCATTGGCTGTTGGTAAAGCTAGCCTTGAAAACTGGGGATATGTCCAAGATCAACGCAGCCTTTGGAGACGGTGGAATTGGGGAGCTTTACCCTTCAGGATGGGTGGCAAGCAAACACTGCAGTGCCATGCTTGGGCCGAAGACCAAACTTGGCTTTTCTTCGGTGGGAAAATGCCCTGGAACCCCTAAAGCCAGAGTGGTAGGACAGAGACTTCAGGCAGAAGAGAACAGCACCGGAGAAAGCCTGAGCAAGAAGGAGACTACTTACGTCACTCTAGCAAGCAGCGAACACAACATGTGCTCTGTTAGAACAATGCCAACCCTGCAAGAGGAGCACAGGCCAACACCAAAGGCCCCTGACTGCACAGACTCGACGAGCAGACGTGAAGCTCAGGCAGACAAAGTGGGAGGCATGTCTGCTCCTCTGACTCCAAACAGCAGTGCCAACGGCAGCACTGACTTGGAAGCTGTTGTGGAGCACCCAGAAGGGACAGCTCAGATGCACGAGAGTGCAACTCTGTACTTCAGTGCCAATGCAGAGGCCACTGCATCTCTGAACGGAGGTGGGGGAGCAGCCAGCTGTGTGGCTGATGGCCTTGTGGAGCTGGTGGAGGACAGCAGGCTCAAGCCTGTACCAGACAACATCGTAGGTAAAGGAGAGGGCTTCCCCATTACCATGGCTAATATCAGTCCAATCCTGGGCGTTGGCACTCCTGGCTTTCTGCAGAGCCGTCCGTCCCTCTGCTGCACCAGTCAGTGCAGTGCACTGAGTTCATCCGAGGAGACCTCGGAGTTCACGGAGCAAGCACAGTGCCACCACTGGGGAACCGCGTCCCTTGGGACTTGGGTTGCTGCTGTGAAGAGGAGACTACGGCCAGCTGAGGAACCATGCTACACGTCCACTCCCAAGACTGACCCCCCCAGCCAGGACTGCAGGTTGAGGGAGGCAAAGGAGAGGACGAAACTGACGGGATTGATGGAGCAATTGTAATGGAGTGAGACTAAATTAACCAGCTGGGGCCGTGTGTTTGGTGTCCAATCCAGTCCTCTGACATCTTGTTAATAATTTACTCTTAAGTCTCCATAGGAGCATACAGCTCCAGTTCTTGTCTGTCTGGAGCTCTAACCTTTTCCTCCTGCTGGGGGTACGTTGCTAGATTCCTCCTTCCTGCACCCACGTACTGTATCATGCAGAGTAGCTCCCCAGTTGTGTGCTGTCTCTTACCACTCCTGCTAGAGTCCAACTCTGGAGCTGTGCGCTTGCTCCATCTGAAATGGCCCTAGTCTTCTGCAATCTGGGGACATGATGCATAGTAAATTGGCAGTAGCAGAACCTGCTGTAAGTAGTGGGGCAACGATTCTGCTGCTTAACGGAGGTTGTGACGATAGTACTTGGGTATGTTTGGGGTTCTGTGGGTGGGCCAGGAGGGATGTTCCATTAGATGTGAAATCCTGCGATGGCAGGCATTCACTGGAATGGGCAAGGGACTGTCTCAGGGGACTAACACTGGGCTACAGAATCTTCCGCTGCTCGGGCACGAGAGCATATCCAGCACCAGACATGATTTTCAGTCACTTTTACAGCTTAAAAGTGCATCAAAGCAAAAGTGCCAACGTTTTTCTAATGCATTAACTGCTTGGGAAAGGAGGGGGGGTTGATGGAAAACGGGCCGAGTGTCTTCCACAGAGCATGCTAGCAATGCCAGCGGATACGACGAATGTCAGAGACCCTCTCTGCCTGGCTCTGACTCTAGGGCTGAGGCTGCAGCAGTAGGAACTGTAGTCTCCTCTACGATGGCCTAGCTCTGCTACCTGCAGCCAAGGGAAGGTACAGATGTTAAATCGGGCATTTAAAGATCTTACTAAGCAACTAAAGCATGGGGCCTCTTACGTATTTGTGACAACGTCTTGAAACTCGGCCATTAGCAGCCATCCTTCCAGAGGGTTATTTCCCCAGCTGCTTGCTTCTCCCCACCTTGGAGGAACAGCTGCTGGCTGGGTGGTTTTTGTATCTTGACCTCTGCCCGAAGCCAGAGTCTTTCCCTTTCCAGGCAAACACGAGTTCACAACCAGGCACCGTGATCTTCCCTTCTAGGGTGGGGAGGGCCGACCAATCCCTGCTGCAGGGTTCAGGAGGCCTTTGCCCCCAGGGGACTTCTTCACCTCCACTTCCAGGTGGCACCATGAAGGAGCCCCGCTCCTCTTTCTACTCCAGGCTGAAGCCCCTCAGGGTATGTTTACACTGCAGCTGGGTGAGCTCCCAGCCCAGGTAGACAGACTTGCACTAGCTTGGCTTGAGCGAGGGTGCTAGAAATAGCAGCGTGGACGTTGTGGTTCCAGTGGAGACTCAGGCTGGCCACGTGAGCTCAGATCCAGTAAAGCCTGAGCTGCTGCCCAAGTCGCAGTGTCCACACTGCTATTTTTAGCGCACTAGCTGAAGCCCAGCTGGTGTGAGTCTGCCTGCCCAAGCTGGGGGGCTCACTCCCAGCTGCAGTGTAGACATACTCTAAATCAGGAGCAGAATCCTGCCTGTCACAGAGCCGCTTCCTACGCTGGCCTCTGCTCAGGCTTTCTCTCCAGCCTTCTTGCAGTCCTCCACCCAACTGCTCCATCTCCAGGCCTCTTTCCCCGCTCCCTAGGGAAGGCCTCACTCCAGATCTTGCTTCAATCCTGCTGTCTCCCAGACTGAGCACAGAGCTTGCCTGCCCCCAATTCAAACCAGGGCTGACTTCCCGCTTGGTCACGTGATCCGTCGGGGGAAACTGAGGGGCTGAGCCTTGGAGCAGGGGTGGCTGCACCTACGCGTGCCCTTAAAGGGACACACTGCACTACAGCTCAGAGGGCTGGTCAGCGAGCTGCTGGCTTGGCTCACAGTCTGTAGTGTGCCAGCATCCAGCGCACAGACACAGAGAACAGGGTGAATAAAAGGCCCCCAAAAATGTCCTTGCTATGTCTGAGCATTCCGTTAAAATGGATGGTTTGTCAGTTCCAGGCAGTGACTCCAGCCCAGCTGAAGCAGGAACAGAAAACAGGTGGGGATGGAATTGGGCGTTTCTTAGCTTAGCCAGAACAATAATGTTTGGAGTCATTTATTTCAAGCCCAGGCAAATTCATTTCCTTCCTCGTTTAACAAAAGAAGTGAAGTCACATTGGTCTTTGAGCACTATCCCACTCGTATTGACTACACCTGGCAGAATTGTCCTGCTGTGCCGCTAACATGGCCTGCTGCCAAGGAGGAGAGCCGTGATTTACTGACCAGGCGAGCAATCAGTAAAAGCTGCCTTCCCTATTTTGATTGAGTTTTAACAGCTTGGACATGCCTAGTTGGGCAGGTTTCACAAGATGGCTTTTCATGTTTTTAACTAACGCTTGGGTGCTAATGTCACACTGAAGCTAGTTTCCAGTGTAACTAACTCGGGGTTGTATTTTTTTATGACTATACAATAGCATTTTGGATGTGCTCGGTATGGAAAGAGACAGTTGTAGTGAGTTCTAATCTCACTAACTACATCAGCAGATATATTCTGGAGGCACTGTAGTGGCTCCATTCTTCAGCTTTTATTACGCTTTTACCTTGGACAGTATCTCTGACTGACTGGTGTTTTAAAAACCACGAAAAGTAACAAATCCTGTCTGAATTTTTGGATGTGTTGTGTTAACTGAGGGGTGCTCAAGGGACAAAATATATCTCCAAAAATGTAATTTGGGCTGCTCTGTCTCACCTTTGGAAAACAAAACCACTTCAGAGCTTTACAGCAAACAACAACTAACGGCAGCTCTGATGCAAATACACGATCGTTCCATTTCCATTGTAGAAAAGAGGAAAAAAGTTATTTGTCCCTAAACACAAAAGAGTCGCACCTAGAATAGCCAATGAAGGTCTCCGCCTTGATTCAATGTGTCTTATTTCTGGTTAGAGCAGGCTCAAAAAGCAGAAAACAATATTGAGACAAGCTCAGGTTTTAGATTCCATTTTATTTTTGACAGGTTTCAGAGTAGCAGCCGTGTTAGTCTGTATCCGCAAAAAGAAGAACAGGAGTACTTGTGGCACCTTAGAGACTAACAAATTTATTAGAGCATAAGCTTT